CAATTCATGGGGATTTTCTTTTTGTACTGCAGCAATTCTTCACGTGGTATCCAGGTGGTCCTTTCAAAATGTGAGCTGTCTCTCTGGGGGAGTGTCCTTGTTGGCTGAAGGCCCTTTTGAGATTTGTGAGGTGACGATCGCAGGTGTTCTTCTCAGCGCACATTTGGTGGTATCGGAGGGCTTGGCTGTATATTACAGCTCAGAGAGCACTTCCCCTGGCACAGCACTCCCTACCCCATCCTCATCTCACTCAGAGAGAAAAGAATCACCTGTTGAATGACCTCAGCTGCCCACAGGGCCTCTGACTCCCCTTGGGCATTTCTCATCCAAGTACCAAAGAGACTCAGCTCCCTTTAGCTGGATAGATACAGACAGTGTCTGTTTGTCTATAACCTTGCCAGACCCTGATACTTCAGCCAAGGTGAAGAGCTAACTGATGCAGCACTGAGTGCTCACGTTAGCATGTTGCAGTCAGCTGGTTTCCAAATACACTAAAATCGGCATAAAATAAATAACTCCGCTGAGCAAGTGGAAATAGAAACTGGCTTCTTCTGCCACACACTGGCAGCTTGGATGTTGCAAGATGCACTCTGTTTACAGAGAATTTGTGGTTGTTCTGACCCTCTCCCCATTTACTGCATTGTAACAAGGCTGTGTTGCTGCTGTGTTTTATAGTTTTCAGAGCACCAGGGGCTCTTATCAGTTTAATGTCAGACAAGTACAAGCTTGCAAAGCTTATCACTTGCCCTGGAGGAGACAGTGCCTGACTTCACTTACAGGATTGGAGGCTGTCTGTGAGCAGGGAAGTCAGTGGCATCTCAGAGTGATTGAAACAAAGTTAGCAGGAGGGTCTGAAAATTGTGCACATACAATGGGGCAGAGGGGATGCCAGGACCTCTGGGCACCAGGACTTCAAAGAGGTGCCCAGCTTCTGATCAGAAACTGTATTTGTTTGCAATAAAGGCTGAAAGCAGGGCAGGGCAAGGCAGCACCTTAGAGGACCTTTTTTATATTTGAGGCACCCCTCATTAGACTGAAGACTCCCCTCGGAAAGTGACAGCTCTTACTTTTCACTCTTTATTTGACTACAGACAAATTATAGAGAAATTTCCCTGTAGCAAAGAACTCAGAAAGCCCACAACGGAGCAAAATGGTTTTCACACTATGGATTCCTATTTCAACTTTCTGGGTGCATCCAGACAAGTGTACACGTGCTCTTTACAGTGCCTCAAAGGCGTTTGAAGCATTGTAAAATGCATGCAGCACATGTGAAAGTGTATATTTGCAGTGCAGAGGCAAATTTAGATACCAGGAACTCCCGGTATCTAAAAAAATGCAGCAGAAAAAAAGCAGGATGGCGCATATGGCTGCAGCATCTACCGCCCAAAACTGGAGTCTGGCTGGCTAGAGCCACACTCCAGCTGCCAGCCAGGCTTCATGCACCTGGATCACCACCTCTACAGCCCCAGGAGGCCTCCAGGACCCCAGGTAAGGCTGCTGGGGCCAGCCCAGGTGCTGGCCTCAGCCTCCTCTACCCCACCTGGGGCAATTTGCTAGGCACCAGAGCATGCACACAGGGCTGTGCCCAGGAACAAGTAGCAGTGACACAACTCTGTTGCTACTTTTTGTCCCTGGGGAAACACATATGAGTACTTATCTGGACACGCCCTCTAGGTTTTTCTTGTGAATCATATTTGCATGCCGAACAGTGCCAACATTGCACGGTGCACTGGGGCACCTCTGAAAGGATCTCAAGGAGCCCCAGGGGTCTGTGTAACCCTGGCTGAGAATCACTGACTTAGGGCATGTGTAGATGAAACAGGAGCCCTAAATTGAAACGGTGGGTTTTTAAACCCACCACTTCAATTTAGGGTGAAGTAAACCCCCGTGTCATGCACAGACCCCGCACTTACTTGCCTCTCCAGCAGCAGGGAGGGGAGGGCAAGCTGCCAGTGGCCGGAGTGGTCCCTGGGCTGTGGGGGGGGCTGGTGCTTCCCTCCACAGCAGCGGTGACCCCCCACCAGGCAGCACCCGTCCACAGGCACCCAGCTCGGGCGGTCCTAGGGGGCACCACAGTCGCGGAGGGAAGCACTGGGCCCCTGAGCAGCTCAGGCAGGTGGGCAGGCAGGCTCTGGGGCGGGAAGGGGGAGATCAGGCTTGCCACTTTTGGCGGCTGTAGGGGCAGCAACTCAGAGGAGTTTTAGTTTGTTGTGCCCCAAAGTCATTTAAGGTGCATTACACCACCAGATTTCCTACAGCGGCTGGAATTAATACGCAATACCCTGCCAAAGCATACAAACATTGACACCATTAAAGCGGTGCAAAAGAAAGTGCCTGCTTTAAAGTGTTGTGCACGCATGCCCCTCATTTCATCCTCACACACCCTTAGAGACTACGTGGTTCAGAGAGACATGAGCTTCTATAGGCAATAGCCTACTTTGTCAGATGCTAGGAATAGGCCTGTGCAAAGCAGCTAGTATTCACTTTGGATTCTGCCAATTCAGGAGACTGTGATTCGATTCGGTGACTCAGATCACTTTCCCAATTAGATTCGGCTGAATCGGATTCGGAGATTCAGCTGCTGCCAAATTTCCAAATCAGCCAGGCCAGGCCCATCCCTTGCTCGCTCTCCCAGCCTGGCAATGGCTGCCCTGCCCGCCCCAGCTCCTGGCACTTGTTTAAAAAAAAGCTCTGACTCAGCAGGTGCTGCCAGGCCAGGGGGGGCATCTCCACTGCCCCCTACTACCCCCATACTGCATGGGGGGCTCTGCATGACCTTTCCAACCCCCCCTCACTCCCTCAGCACCCCCATGGGTGCCCTGCCCAGGCGAGCTCCGGCCCTTTATGAACAAAAAAACAAAAAGCCCCCAGACTCACCACTCCTGCTTCCAGGGGGCGATCCCTGCTGCCCCGCGCTGCCCCACACCACGGATTTTTTTTTAAAGGGCCAGAGATGGCCCAGGCAGGGCACGCGCAGGGGGGGCCAGGGGAGCAGGTGGGGGGCAGGAGGCTCGTGCAGAGCCCCCCATGCAGTGTGAGCCAGTGGGGGGCAGCAGGGATGGCCCCCCTGCCCTTCAGCACCCAGTGAGCACCAGGGCTTTTTTTTAAAGTACCGAGCTGAGGCAGACGGGGCAGCCATGCGGAGACTGGGGGAGTGGGCAGGAGTTGGGGGCGCTGTCAAAAGTCCTCCCATGGCCCCCACCGCCAGCCACCCTACCCCCACCCCTAGTACTTACCAGCTCAGAGTCAGCTTCAGCTCCCTGCTGCAGCCACTGGGGACTGCCCGAATCATCAAAGCTCTCCGAATCTTGTCCAAAGATTCATAGAGCTTAGAATCGATTCAGACCTTTAAATTGGTCCCCTGATTCAATTAAGAGTCAGAGATTCAGCCACCAAATTGAGCCGAATCTCCTCTGAATCAAATCTCCATCTGAAGCTTCGCAGAGCCCTAGCTAGGAACTGCCTCTCCCTTCTGCCCGTCTTGCACAGCTAACCATCTCTGTACAGTTTGCAGTGCAGCATCAGAGACCCATATGAACAGGGTCTTGTATTTCTGCTCTAAAATAAACCAGGTCACAACACAGAGGTTGCCAGTAGAGCACAAACTGCCCATCATGCAGAGGCAGAGAGACACTTCTGAGCAGCCACACCGCCTCTAGACGCTTGCACCACACAGGCGCACACATCTGCTCTCCACTGTTTGACTTTAGCCCCAGTCACATGAATCTTCCCAAAGGTCTGTCTCCCTGCCATGTGTATTTCCCTTCAAGGTCACTGGTGTGTGGCAGGGCACGCTAGGCCTGTCAGCAACATAGCAGGAAGAATGACTTGGGGTAAATTGTGCGTTCCCAACACACATGCTGCTCATCTCATCACCCTTTTCCTCCACCCTCGCCCACATCCTTTCCAACCCCCATGTGCCTGCTCCCAGCTGGGGAGTTACAAATGGTTCAGACACGGTTCAAGGGTGCCGGGATCTTCTCCAGTCCCCCACTGACAGAGCTGCAAAGAAGTGAAAACAAGACCCCTGGCCTGTTTCTGCTTCATTCCACGCAGGCTGCCGGTGTCAGGTTAGCACTTCAGAGCCATCAGCGTCTGAAACAACAGGCCCCCAGCCATGAGGGACCCGCTCCCAGGGCATTTGTCACGCCCCAAGGCTGCTGCCTTTCATCAGACCCGACTCTCCCCTGTCATGCCCCCCCCCATCCTTAGCCTGTGGGAGCGGGTGACAGTTCTTCTGACAACACTTGTGCATCCCAGTGAGCAATAAACAGGCCTAGCACATATGTATAAGACGGAGAGTCCCAAAGTGTGTGGGGGACCAGGATGGAGCTTCTCACCAAGTTGCAGCACACTCCCTCTATCCCTCAGAGACCCTGGCCAAGCCCAGGCATGGCGGTGGGTCTGGGTGTGCTGCCACTGGAGTATGACAAATTCCTCCTGCCCACACACTGCCACTGTCACGAGGAAGTGGGTTATTTCTGGTGATGTGCCTCAGATTTCCTGGCAGAAGAAAGTCATGTCCCCAGAATGGACTAAAAAAAGGCAAAGACACTTAGCAGCAATGATCAGTGCCCACCTGGATAGGGGATGAGGATGGGGAGGAGAAAGGCAGACTGTTGGCACCTATGCTGTGGCACACTATCTGGCAGACATGGTGGCAGCCTACATTCACGCACAGCCCACAGACTATCTGCCAGCATGGCTGGGGCCTTCTTCCATGGAGTGGCATGGCTCAGTGAGCATTGAGTCTCTAGGCCAGCTCAGTTGGTGGGGGTATGCCTGTCACTCAGTGTTGTTTTGGGGCTTGCTGTGGATGTCCTGGCTGTGACCAGACATGAACATGGAAAGTCTGACTGAAGATGCTAATGGAGACGGCCAGGGAGAAACCAGATTCTCAAAACAGGGGCAGGAAGGCAGCAAAGTCCCTTGGGGCTCAGCTCACAGCACCCTCCAGTCTACAGGGTGCTAGGAGCTCCAAAAGAAATGGAGGTCACCTCATCCAGCTCATCCCAGTCAAATAACCACTTCAACAAAAAAACCTCCACCAACATGCACAAGGATGCACTCCTGGGCCTGGGCTCCATGCATGTGCCTGCAGAAGATTATCTAGTTTCTTGCTCTATTTCCCACCCCAGTCCCTCTTACCCAGTGCCTTCCCTTCTTCCTTCTGCAGTGTGTATCCTGCTCCTCATTATCATGGGAAGGGGCCAGCATTGACCCTAGGAGTGCAGCACATGAGCCTGGCACCCTGTCATGCTTGCTGCGACTCTCCCTCCCTTTCCAGGAGACAGGTAAGGGTGGTTGCAGAGGGCTGGGTGGGAAGGGGACCTATTCACCCCTGCCGATCGCTCCAGCCTGGGTAGACACTCAGATACCAACCTACTGCCCCCAGCTGGGCTCTCAGTCCCTGTGGATGAGCTGTTCAGTGGGAGAGCCCAGACTTGTTTTCCTTTGGGTCTGTTTTGTATTGTCACATTTGCATTCTGCTCATTGCACACATGCTTTGCCTTTACAGTGATGCTGCCCACACTCTGCACCTCCACAGCAATGCTTCCACCTTCCCACCACTGCCATTACAGCAACCAGGCCTCCCCCTCATAACCACAGCACTCCCACAGGGCTTTAACTGGAGCACAAAGCACTTCATACAGAGTTGGACAATGAGTGATGTAGGAGGTACTCTGTTACACTCCCAGGAATGACATCTGCTTCACCCTGCTCAGGCTTTCTAGGCAATCCCATGGCGGCGTTGCATCGTCTCCTGGGAAAACTCACTGTCATGCTACTCCCTTCAAACTCCTCTTTAAACCTTTCCCCTTTTAAACCACCTAGCTCTTCTGAGACAACAGCTTCAAAATCCAATTAACAACATAATACAGCTGCATAATCCAGGGGTTGGCAACCTATGGCCCATGGGCTAAATCCAGTTTGTGGAGCCATTGGATCCAGCCCATGGAGCTTGGGTTTTGTCAAAGTTTGGCAGTAGGGGCTTCACCTCCACTGGAATGCAACTAAATGATAGGGAGAAGAAGTGGTGGCAGTGGCTGGATCCTAGCTCTAGCCTACCCTGGACTTGTGCTGGTCCTTTCCAGGCTCCTGCCAGAAAATGTTACCAACCTCTGGCATGCTCCCTTCCAACCGACTTTTCCGGGCCTTTTGATACTGTATAATTTCAGCCCTGTGCTTAGTTGATTAATTCACTCATGGCCAAGCTGCTAACATAACTCTCTTCAGTGTATTGATGCCAAGGCTTCCACCAGGTGCCTCAGGAGTTCGACGCCTTGGCAAGCTGGCAGCAGTGATGACTGCTCTGGATGATACTGGTCCCTGGCATCATTCTACCATCTCAGAGACAGACTTTGTGAGGAGCTAAGTGTTTCCCTTTTGTAGAGAGATCCCTTCAGGTATTTCATGTAAATCACAGTGATTTCTTCAGCATCTCTGAGCATCTGTTCCCCCAAACTGCAATTGTGGCTTTGCAGAGGTGGAAACAGCTGTTATCAGCCCCAGGAATCAGGCAGGTTGAGTCACTAGCCTGGGCCATGGGTTAGGATAGCTTTCTGATTGCTACTTTTGATTCTCCTGCCTCCTTTTCAGCTGTAAATGTTAAATTTCTTCAAGCTGGAATAACAGAGGCCTTGCAGGAAAGACAATCTTAGTTTCATAGTTGGTAGGGCTGGAAGGGACCTGAGCAGATCACCAAGTCCGACCCCCTGCCATGGCAGGAAAGAGTACTGGGGTCAAACAACCCCGGCAAGGTGTTCATCTAGCCTCCTCTTAAAGACCCCCAGGGTAGGAGCCAGCACCACTTCTCTTGGAAGTTGGTTCCAGATCCTAGCCGCCCTGACAGTGAAGTAGTGCCTCCTGATGTCTAGTCTGAATCTACTCTCTGCCAGCTTGTGACCATTATTTCTAGTCACTCCTGGGAGTGCTCGGGGGAACAGGGACTCCCCCAGTGCCTGCTGGTCCCCTCTGACTAGTTTGTAAAGGGCCACTAGATCCCCCCTCAGCCTTCTCATGTGGAGGCTGAACAGGTTCAGGTCCC